GAAACATTTATACAAAATCTCCCATTTGAACTTAAGTTTGGTTTGTTTTGCATTTCGTAAAAGCTATGAGAGGGCTATCTGCGCTAACCGTTCCTTATTTTTGCAGTGATAGACTAGAGGGAAAGCAGCCAGTCATCACCATCCACCGCCAACTCTTGGGCTACTCTTTTTACCAACGAATAGTGCGATTGACCATCACATTATAACACCCTGTCGACTGAAAGGGCGAGCATGTTTTCAGTGACGGTGGTTAGAACCCGCCACTCTCAGATTGCGAGTCTGTGCACTAACCACAGGTGGTGGAAATGGGGAGAGAGAGAAAGTGGCAATATGACACTTCAATTAACCACTTTTGTTATTTTCACACAATAATAACCTGTAATGTACTATTCTACATACAAAACAAGACATCATATTATTCATAGCAAATGATAATGTTTGGGGGAATGTGGATTAACCTTCCCTCAGGAAAACGTCATTAATTTCTCTTCAAGAAATTTTCTGTAGATGTTTAACTACTTTCTGAAAATTACAATATCTCAATTTTCAATTCTTTACCTACCAAAGTTGTGTTAGTAAATATACCATTATATTAAAAATGTGAAGAAAGCAGCTATTGTTTTCACTTTTAATGTGTTTCAATGCGAAATTGGCAAATATAATTATGATGTCACGTCACTAAAATAGACTAACAAGAGTAATGAAATTATAAGAACAAAAACAATCTACGAAAAAATAAAATTAGTAAAAATAAAATAATGAAATTAAAAACAATTCATTTAAGAAATTATTGTTTATTTGTAATTAAGCACAAAGCTACACAATGGGCTACCTGTGCTCTGCCCACCACGGGTATCGAAACCCGGATAGTAGTGTTGTAAGTCCGCAGACATGCCGCTGTGCCACTGGGTTTTTTTTTTTTTAAAGAAATGAATTAAAAGAAACATATTCAAACCACAATTTACACAAATAAAATGAATGAATTAGTAATGTTAACAGAAGATAAAGTGTAAATAATTAATGAATATAAAAAACCAGAAAAATAAGAATAAAGTCTTAATTTAAATAAAAAATAGAAAATGTAGAGATATTAAAAATACAAATACAAAAAATAATAAAAAGGCTGAATTATTAAGATTAGAAAATAATAATTTGTTTGGTTCGTATAGAACAAAGTTACATTAGGCTGTTTGCTGTGTCAACTGAACTTAGTATTTTAGGATTATAAATCTGCAGACTTACCTTCAGCCCAGCCGGGCACAAAAAAAAATGAGCAGATCGAAATAAAATAAAGTAAAATAATTTGAACTATAATGATTGGTTTGTTTTGAATTTCGCCCAAAGCCACACTAGAGCTATCTGCGCTAGCCGTCCCTAATTTCACAGTGAAAGACTAGAATGAAGGCAGTTAGTCATCAACACCCACCGCCAACTCTCGGGCTACTCGTGTAGCTTTGCGCGAAATTCAAAACATACAAACAAACTTATCACACTGACATTTGAACACGTTTCAGTTGGAAAGCGAAAATAAGCAGGTTTTTTGTTTTAGCCAAACTTGAAAAAAAATCAGATGTGTACAAACGTATTTTCAATGATCTCACAAGATAAAGATAAACGTATATCACATAAGCTCTGTTTTCTAACAATAAACCTTCTAGAATATCAGTCAATACCATTTAGGAATTATGAGGTAATAAGACCCTTGGACGCTGTGGTATGTGCTGGGTCTACAGTGACAGAATAAAAGTCTTAATTCATTATCAGCCAACTCTAATTAAAGCTGCACTGATTTACAACTCCCACATTCTTATGACGTATTCTGATAACGGTTTATCACTTCGAGAGCGACGATTATCTTTTAAGGTGTAGTTGAAAGCACAAATAGAAAATGATGTGTTTAATATAAATATATAGGGAAAAAAAACGTCTTGCAATAAATTCTGGCCCCTAATGGCTCAGCGTTTACTCTGCAGGCTTACGACGCTAAAAGTCAAGCTTCGATACCCGTGATGGTGGAGCATAGATAGCCCGTTGTGTAGCTTTGTGTTTAACAACAACCAACCAACAAAATTTGAATAAGATAAATTGTATTTCAGCAAATCAAAAATATAATTGTAAGATGAAAACTACGTAAAATCATCATGGGTGTTAAAAAGGGTGGAGTCTCCCACTTTAAAAGGCACTATACTAGTGACAATCAAATACGCAAGGTTACGTATACAGAAATGTATGATGAAACTTTGTTGAATGGACGGCAACTGCCTGTTGTAGAAACACGAGTGCAGAGGACGACGTTTCGAAAGTCTTCCGCCTTTCGTCTTCGGATCAGTGTGTGTGCCTATCTATCCTATCTGACTTGGTAATTGTTTTAGGTTTAGTAGAAAACCTAGGGGTGTTCAGAAATTAATGTTATTTTAGTGGATGCGGTAATTGTTTCTCTTAACTGTTGATTTTTCGTAGTTCAAGCATGAGGGAAAGCCTTGAAGAAGATCGGAAGAGCGGTTGCTTCCTTGATGATGACTTGAAGGGAAGTGTGTAGGAGCTTCGACCCTGACGATTGATCAACTAAACACGAGCAGTAGATCCAGACGGCCGAGGCCCCATCCTGAGGGTCAGTGCACCCCGTCCCAGGAAAGAAACAAGACCAGAACCAAAGTTTATTGCATCACAACAGACAATTACAAATAAGTATTTTAACATTAACATTATTTACACTGAACAGATTGTGCTATTTTGAGTACAGTGAATGATAAATGACCTTGCACACATACAAGAACTTCACAATACGCTGATGACATAGCACTATGGTGCACCTCGTGGGACCCCCCACTAGCGGCAAAGAAAATTCAAAATTTACTTGACAAAATCACACAATGGTGTAATAAATGGAGATTAATACTGAACCCCACAAAAACTCAAGCAATCATACTTTTCCGTAGGCTAAACAAAAGACTAAATCGTGTCAAGTTAGCTAAACTAAGCCTTTACATCTCATGTAACTTTACATGAGATGTAACTCAAGTTACAATAAGTTACATGTAAATTATAACTATCATAACTATCAACCCTAAACTAACATGACACACACACATTTCAAGGAAACCATAAAGAAACTTAAAACCAGTCATCGCATTCCACTCCTCATCAGTGACCCTGGACATTACCACCAATGAAATATCAGACCAAACCAAGCCTTTATAGTAGTGAGGTATCGAAAATCGAA